TGGTTCTTCGATTTCCCTTGAACCAATCCATTGGTTCTTAGAATTGCAAACAGTGCTTTACCTAAATCTTCGATGAAGAAATTTGATCACTGTTGCTTGTTGTTCCTATGTTTCTCTCCCCTCGCGATGATTTTTGAGGCCCTCTCAAACACACATGGCACCCTGCTGATCGCGGAACTGACAGGAAGGTCTATTTGGTCTACTTATCACTAGTATCACTAGTCACTACAGTAGAACCGTTCCACATGTCAAGGTGGAGCAAAATCGCATGCATCACAGCAGTGTTGGACTGAAGAAATCGTGGAATCGGCCATTTTGATTTGTCTTTAGATTCTGTTCACGGCACAGTTTAAGTATGGCTCATGATGTATCTGAATAAACTACAAAGACCTCACCGTCAACCTATCTGGAAATGATGTTTAGTACTGTATCGGGAACCATCCTTAAATGATGAACAATGGTTGCTGTTAGTTACTATATAATCTATATAGTACCATACCAAAATGAAGATTACCACCATCAAAATGAGCATTACTGTAAAATTCCCAAGAGTGATCTCATGTCAGGTTGGTGAAGTGCTGCAACCCGATGACCGATATGTTTCACCCCCAGCCTCAGGAACAGCGCACAAAACTTGACTGCCTTGACCAGCAAGGAGGCGGCGAGAAGCAGAAGCTTTTGGGAGTGCCAATCTGCTTGATGGTTTCAAATATGTTCAATGTAGAAGACGATGTTTGTTAATTACTAAGATTCAAAACATTTCTAAACTATATTCTATATATGGGGGGGTTCCTAATATACGAGTACCCCCAAATCATCCATTTAATAATAGGATTTTCAATTATAAACCATCTATTTTAAGGGGTACCCCCATTTTAAAAATTTTAGGTAGGACACACCTATAGCCTATGATATATATATATATACATATGAATATGTGTTTTAAAGATTCAACCATAATTGTTGAGATCCCAATTGTTGCTGGATATCTCCATTGATTCCAACAAAAAATGCGTTCGTAAAGTCACGTCTGTCTGACAGTGAAAAGTATGTCCGTTTTTGGTGGCTGAAGATCATCCCTGCTGGTTATGTTTTGGTTACAACAAGAAGTGTTGTTAAAATCATAGGTTTAGTCTTTGGCCATATATTTTGGCTGAAACTGCCTGCGTTGCTTGACAACCCCTGCTGAAAACCCAGTGTGCTGAAGTTGCAAACCTCATCCAGTGTTTGGTTTCCATCTCTGAAGATGAAACCACCAAGCATTGATGATTGTTTTTTGAACCCCTATCATTTCCCTTCCCCTGGCCTAAACCCCCATTTCGATATGGAAAAAAACATGGTTTCCCGTTCGGAAAACGATCGACCTTCATGTTGGGTTTCCACATCTATCTTAGTGAAACATGGAGGGTTGCCATTAAAAAATCGACGTTCATAGAATTTTCATCGGGTATAAAAGGGATCTTAAGGGATCATAACATATCATAACCATCACTTCCCAGCAACGTTTTCTTCACCATCAGCTAAAGTCCAAAGTGATCTTGATCACCTCAGAGCTACAGGAGCTGCTGTGGCTCAACAGACTCTCCAACTCTTTGAGCGTTCGCTGCGGACAGCTGCGGGCTGGCAGCACGGTGCTGGAGGCAGGATTTGGCCTCGATTTCAGCAACAAAACTGGGGATTTATAAGGATATCATGGGGATATCATGGGATATAAGATTTACCCTCTGGTAAACTAATCAACAGATCCATGGAAATCACCATTCTTAATACGAAAATCATTTGTAAATGGCTCATTATGATCATTTTCCAGAGCTATGATCGTTTACAGCGCATGGTATCAACGGGATGAACGAACAAATGGAGGTTTATGGCATTGGACTTATCACATATGCGATGGAAAATCAGCATTTAAAGTAGAGATTTATCGTCGAACCTACTGGGCCATGTTCCTTAGTTATATGGCTATGGATCAATACTGTACCTATACATACCATTTTTAGGGGGATGAACATCCATTTACCAGCTATTTTGATGTTCACCAGGGGGATAGGGTTTTGACCCATCCCCATATGATCTATATGTTCGATTGCCACAGCGTAGCAGCATGTAGCAGCATCAATTCTTCACGAGGTGACTCAATGGCCTGGTTTTCTGAGTTTGGAGGATGCGACCAAGCAATGACAGTGGTGGTCACTCAAACCATGCATTTAGATGTTCGATTTCAATATATATATATAGTCAGGTTCAAGGGCAAAGTAAGACCTTAGAAGTGCCAAACACAGAGACGGACGCGCAGACACGGTCACAGTCGCTGGAGCAGACTCCTAAAAGACCTGTTAATGACAGGAATGTGACAGCAACATTGCCCAGGCTCGTCCGCACACATATCCCACTATACTATACCATACTATACCAAGTTGTCGTGCCAACCCGAAGCTCATGGCTGCTGTAGCGCCCTGTGCTTACTATGGCTGCGGCTGTGGGCAGCCGGGGCACATGTTGGGCTTTCAAAGTGGTTGGATGGCTTATCGATAAGCCATCCCACCACCTTGAAAGCCCAACATGGCTTATCCAGCTTATGCACATCAAGATCCTCCTGTCAAGCTTCGCTTGCACCGCCTGTTGCTGGAGCTGAAACCCCTGCAAGAAAAGTACTGGGAAGCACAGCATTTGGTGCAGCAGATGGCCGTCCATGAAGTTGGTCTTTGCATCCAAGCAATCCTGGATAAGCCTTTGCCAACGCACTGGATGCATGACCTCAGCATCCAAATGCTTGGAGAACTTCTTCGGCTCCATCCAGCTATTGTGACTTCAGAGTGTGGCAAGGTGGGTATGGCTCAATTTTGTTTACCCCAAAAATTGAACGGGTTCATCAGAAAAGTGACAGTTTTGTGGGTTCGTTTTTGAGCCATGGCCAGGTGAAAATGAACCTCTCATGGCTCTTTCCAGAACATGGAGATGTCGACCTTGCAGCTGTGTTTTTCTCGAAATCTCCTTTGGACAAAAGAAACATTAAGAAACTATGAGCCAGACCACCAAGAGTGAAGCCACAAAATGTTCGAAGCTTCTGATGAGATGTACAAAAAGCAAAACGACCTCTGCAAAGAACCAGCGTGCACTGCGAGAGCTTGGTTGGTCCCTATATGGAAAGATGTTCCATGCACGCGTCCAAACCAAGAGTTGTTAGTGAGTTGTATAACAACTCACCATACGCTGTCCTTGTGTTTTATAAGTGTCTGCGAGCCAGTGCACCATACAAACCAAGATTTTTTTGGTTTGTATGGTGCACTGGCTTGCAGACCCTTATGAAACACAAGGCAGCGTTTCGAACCGATTCCATACATGCACTGGAAGTCAAAGCCAAAGATTTGGCCTCTTGAACTATCATCGCGTTTCTTTTCATTTCAGTCAATTTCTGGTGAGATTCCAACTCTGCAGGACTTTGGCGCGCCTGAAATTCAGGACTCCCGAAAAAACAGCGAGATGATGCAGGAGGTGGATGTATGTCAAAAGCCAAAAAACACCCAATTAACTAACCGTCCTAGATAATTAAAGAGAATGAGTAGAATATTGATGTAAGTTAGTACCCCATTGTGGGTTTGGGGCTTATAAGACAAATAGTTATGCGAACATCCTAAATTAATTAAACTAATAGACGTTTCTGTACATTTATTGGGGTGTCACCAGCGTAAAAGGGGTTTTGAATGGTTGTGACAGATTCGCAGGCCTGTCGCCATTCAATGAAGCATATTGGGTTGCATTGCAGCAAACATTGCATCAATATAACATAACATAATACAATATAATTATATATATATATGATTGCATATTGTCTTTTGACAAATATTTCATATATAGACTGAGCGATTAGATGCTTGAAATCCCTAGGAAAAAACGGAGCTTCCACGGATTGATCGAAATGTGTCGTTTCCATTTGGATCCGGGGATTCCAACGGCGATCCACAAAGGTCATCGGCGATATTTTAACATGGAACGGTGGAACGCTCCAAAATGATCAAAAATGGTAACCATACAGGAATATTACTGTGAAAAAGGATTTCTTTTTGAAGCTTCCAGCTTCAACTCGCAAACTTACATATGCATACATGTGATATTGTGTGTATAAATCCAATATTTACATCTGTGCATTACATGTAGATAGAATCACCGGCAGGCCTGCCAGAATGCAGAGGATGGGCAGCTGGACTGCATTGCCATGTGTTTCGCTGTTTCCAGGTACACCAACAAAAATTGTGAAGAAGCAGACAAACCCATCCAAGTATAGGTTTATTATGAATTCGGAGGTTAGTTTATAAGTATTCCGGATGTCATATGATAACTCCCCAAGAATTAAGGTGTTCTGAGTTGAAACCCTCATGTTTGTCTGTTTGAAAGATCATCGATGAATGGGGTACAGTATTTCAAAATGTTGTGGTAAGCCTAATGGCAAACCCCAGGTGGGGTGCGGCTTATACAATGTTTATACTTTATACCATAGATTCCTAGTTGGGGATGGTTCTATTGTTAGATTCACCAAATAAATTGTCTGATGTTGCTTCTGGTTCTGAATCTACCTGGTCTCTCCCTGATTTTATTTCTGGAAGCTCTCTTCAGAGCAGGATTCCTACTATCATTGTTGTTTGTAAGTACATAATGTTGTAAGGATCGTTCAGGGTGATTGGTTGAGAAGCCTTTTCAGACACATCAAAGTTGTATTTGTACATGGCATGAATTCGAAAGCAACCCCAACCGCATGTTCTTTGCAGAGTTGCACACTTGGAACGGAGGTCTTCACTTTCTATGCCCTACTCTCTGGTAATCTAACGTGGCTAGGGAAAATGGCATGTTTGTAGATGATTTGCCTGGTTTGCCGCAGCGGTTTGCCTGTTAAAATGTGGTGGTGTTCCATAGCTACGTTCGATTGCCAGAGGGCATTCGGCCCCAATTTCAAGCAGAGCTTGAGGTCGAAGGCTGAAGCCGTTGGAAAGCTGTTGAGTGGCATGTCAACCTTGCTGAATGAGGACTTTGTTGGGTCGCCGAATTTGCGAATTTGGGGTTGGGGATGGATCAAAAGCCTATGAAATACATTGAAATACCATTTTGAAAAAGGGATGAACGTCCATGACTACCAGATCTACCAGCTATTTTTGGTCACAAGGGTTTTCCCAGGTTTTGACTTCTGCCACCTGGCCAAGTACGAAAGGTAAAGCTCCCACAGTGGCCCTTTTAAAAAGGGCCTGTCCACTGGAATTTGCTTGTGTCCCTTTTTTTTAGCAGTGGCTGCCAGGACCCCCGGTGAGTTCACAGGGGGTTTTACAGCCTGTTGTACTATCCAATACATTGGGAAGTACCCTCTGGTAATTTAACATAGCTATTGAAAATGACCATTTGCAGTGGATTTTCCCATGAAAAATGGTGATTTTCCATAGCTATGTTAAATTACCAGAGGGTATCATAATCCATGATAATCCATGAACTGCCAAACTGACCAATGTCGATCAATGTTGACCAAACGTTGTATATGTATGGAATGAAGGTGCTGCTGGAATGAACGCTGCTCAAGTATTATAAACCCATGATGTCCCATGATATCATGGTTGCCTCATGGCTCCCCCTCCCGTGGCTTCCCCTGAAGAGGACATGTTGAAAGCAGCTCAGCGCTTAAGCCAGCGTACCAAGCACTTGTTGGCCAAGCGGCAGAAGTTGCAAGACGAGATGCTTGAAAGCTGGTGGGAGGGCCCAACGCGGGCTGCTGTGGCTGCTGTGGCTGCTGTGGCTGCTGTGGCTGCTGTGGCTGCTGTGGCTGCTGATCTGCTGAGCCATGGTGGGACCCGGTAGTGAAGATGAAAATGTGCATCGAATAGTTTGTGGTTGTAGATGTTCATCCAACAAAAAAAGGGTATTTCAATGTATTTCAGATAGGTTTTGAGCCATCCCCATGTTGGTGTCGAGCAGGGTGTCGAGCAGGCTGGCGGTTGACCGGGGGAATCCCCGGGCTATCTTTTGCTACATCTTTTTGGGACCTAGATGTGCCATGGTCAAGTCACATGGATTCACCCATAGAGGATGTTCATCCCCCCATAAAAATATGGGGATTTTTCTCCCATTTTTTGCGAAGAATCCCATGGAATCCCATGATGGTGCAATGACCATACTCCAGAAAAATCCCAGATGTTGCCCATATGTTGAAGATGGTGTTTGTGTTTAAAAAAAAAAGCACTTGGGCATCTCCCAAAATGCAACGTTTTTCAAACCAAGCCCATAAAAAAGACATTAAATCGATTCTCCATGATTCTCCCTCTAGGTTCGTCGCGCTTCAGAAGTTGTGTGTTTCTGGGAGGAGCATGTGATGTGACGGTCAGATAGGGTCAGCCCAGACCAGAGCCGCTCCTTAGGTCAAGACGTATGTCAGTGCACCAGGATCCTGCATTGCTTGGAATCTTTGGTAAGTGGAGATTGTGTTGTTTTCCAACCATTTAGGCACACTCGGGATCAAGTGCATTGTTTTGGAAGCAGAAGGTTGAATTCAGAGGGTGATCACTTGCACTTCACAAAATCACTTGTTTAAGTTGGAACCAAGTTGGGTTAGAACAAGGTAGCAAGTTTGTGTTAGCGGTGCTTCAGTCGTAGACAGAGCGCCAGCATTAACATTGATTTGCTCAGCTCGATTCATAGATGTTTTTTCAAATACACTCTGGGGTTCTTCGATAAACAGTTGAAACATGTTTTAAAATGTTTTAAACATGTTAAAACAAAATTAACACACAGACACACAGTCAGATAAGAGGACATTCACCCAAAAAATTGCACGAAAAATCTACCACAGACCTCCGGTTTACACAGGAGGAGAGCCATGCTGAGTCTGTCTCTGAAGGATTGGGTTCCTGGGTTTTTTGTTTCATGCAACATTTTCCATCATTTTCCCTTTTCTGGCCCCAATCAGAATTGTCCAAAAGTTATGAGGATTGCAGTTTTTTGATGTTTTTTAATTGTCGTCGTCTCCCTAATAATCCTAATAAGTGCGAGGGGCTGTGCGGGACAATGACTCAGGTGAAGGTTTATTTGCGGTTTCCTACCTTTCGAAGAATTCGCGCCGAACATCAGTGACAAACTGAGGTTCCTTGATATATTTATTGGAGGATCGAGAGCTGAAGGAAACACCTCAGGTGCCGCCGGTGACTCTAGGCAGTCTACCGAATCTTGGATGTTTTGATGGCAGTTTCCTTGGTTCGTCCAGGGTACTTCTCAGGATGATTGTTTGTTTAATTACGTTTGGCTGGTTGATGCGCAGTGTTGTTAAGTCGCGGCGTTTCACTTTTCTGGTTGTATCCCCACGTGTGTTAGTTCATACTGTGATATCCCGAACAATCGCCCCGCGTTTCTGCCGGGGATATTGTTTGTTTGATCTTTTTGGCTTGTATCATCTGGTATCCCTATTTTCCTGGGTTAAACCATATCAAGATCTTTCTTGGTCCCTGTTTCAAGGGCCATTTCAGCTACCTAATTTGAAGGTACCTATCATATACTGTATAAGTTCTATACAAAGGCGAAATGTCAGCTGTCAGCCCTTAAAAATTGGTTTATCGAACTCTTCCAGCTGCTGCTCGGCAGGACGAAGTGACACCGGCCGAGTTGCTGAATATCCTGCACTGCACGGCGGCACGCGTCTCCCGGCTCACAATAACTGACAGCTGGTGGCGGCTGAGGGGTTGAAAATCCAAGATCAATCTCTATGGTGACTATCGTCTAAGGGGCATGAACAAGTTTTTCTTACTGAGGATATCATGTGGATGTATCACCAGCAACGGAACTGGTCGAAATCACATCTTTTTTTCAGCTGTGAAATTGTTGTATTTATGTAATTCAGAATAGTGCCGACAGGTCACAGATCAATGGATGCTCCATGTTCCTACGAGAAACCAATGGCTTCGGGAAGTTTATGATGCTAGTCCCCATATCGCACGGACGATTTGTTGTGATCCTGAAAGGTGGAAAATGGTCGTAGACTTCTGGGTCGGGATACTGTATTTCCGAAGTTTTGACATGGGGGCCAATACCTGGCAGTAGCCCCGTATCCATTGATGTTGTTTGTCAGAGTTGTCTACCTCAATCATTCGCAGAATCTCAACCCCAGATTTTTATTCACCTGGCTGTTGATCATGGGCGTGTTACCATTGTATAGCAGATGACTTGCGGAGAACCCCCGATGTTTAACCAACCAAAGTAAAATTGATCTGCCAAAGTTGGGCACCCCAATCATCCCCAATCATTGGATAAAGTCTCAAGAGTTGATCGAAACAACCATTGAACCAAAGTTCTTGGGTTTTGTTGTCTCAAGCCATTCATTTCTGGGGGTTCTCAATGGGGGATACCCAAAACATCCCAAGACCATGGGGGCTCTTCAGGTCTTCAAGCATCGGAAATCACAGGTCTTCGATTGGGATGCTCGGACGGCAGCGAAACCTTTGTCGGATGGTGAATATGTTAACAATGTTTAATCTACCCTCTAGTAGTTTAAGATAGCTATCGAACATGACGATTTATAATTGACCGTTTTTAGTGATGGTGATTTTCTATAGCTATGTTAGTTTACCAGAGGGTACTGTGAAATTTTCTTAGAGCATGTTTTGCGATAAAATGCGATAAATATTTTATATATAATATGTAAATGATTAATTATATATGTATACATTATGTATATATTATGTATACATTATGTATATATTATGTATATATTATGTATATATTATGTATGCGACTGTATGTAAATGTAAATATATATATATATGTGTTTGTAATTTAGAATCACATATTATTAGTGTATATATAACAAGCAAGAACCCCAAATGATGTTTGTTTTGGTGGGATGTTTATGATTGGCCATGGCTACACTCTAGGCCGGAGGGGGGGCTGCCTTCATGATACTCCAGAAATGATAAAGGTACAAAGCGAAGATACTTATGGACAATATCAGATCACATCACAACATATCACATCATATGACACCACATCATGTCAGTTGAGATATAATGATATATAATGTATTATTCAATTACATAGTATTCTACTCAAAGGTCAAATCACTTTCAAAGGTCGTATGACTCACCTTGCTGCCAGATGGTGGCCATCATTGCCAGCCGCGTCGCCAAGGCGATGATGGGTTTGAGTGACATGGACAAGATGGTCTCTGAAGCCGTGCTGTCCGAACAGGCCACCAGTCGGGGATGGTGAGAGATCGGAATCCAAAAAGGTGAAAACACATTTGAAGACGGGAACATCCAAAATCCATCCAAAATCCATCCATTGAGAATGAATCCACATAGTTAAAATATGTTAAAATCATCCAACCTCATACAGAATCATAGAAACTCATCCAAAATCATAGGAATGCAAGATGGTAATCCCTTCCAGTTCCCATCAGTTCCCCATTCCATTCGAGGCAGCAAGAGCTCCCGAAGAAGTCCAGGCAGGTGAGGGAGCGATTTGGAGCTATCTCTATCCCTTTTCCCATTCAATGGGGAGCTACATGGAGCTACTAAAAGTTGGTGGATCCGTTGAAAACGTCTGAAAAATATGAAATCACGATGTCACTCTGGACGTTCCTCTCAAAATCATGTTGAACATTTGTGGTAGCCAAGGCACCGATGATGAAATGTGTGGCATACCATGGGATAGCCGCATAGCCCATGCAGGTCGTGTCGGAATTGGAGGTGGAGAACCGAGACTTGCTACCCTCGTTGCCAGTCGACAGCCTCATTGAGCAGAATATGCAGCTTGTTGGCAAAGTGGGTGCAGTATGGATCAAGACATTGGGTACCCCAGTCATTGGATGATCAAGACATGTTAAGACCAGGAATAGACATGTTAAATGTTGATCCATACCCATTTGTGGGTCTGAAAATGATGGATTTAACGTGATTAATTAACCTACAAAGGTACGGTATGATCGCTTATAGCCAACCATTGGATGCGGACACAATTGGATCACCTGGACTCATCTGGACTGATTGGTCGCTTTTCAGTGACTCAGGGAGCCTCCAAGTGACTTGTTGCAGAGCATGGAGGAGGCTGGATGACGGTTTTTTTCCATCATTAGCAATCGTTGAAGAGAGAGTCCACAGGAAAGCATGGTAAAACATGGTAAAACCCTTGTACCAACTCAATTCTTCCCATCATTTTCAATCAAAAGGAGGGCATAAATCAACAACCAATCCCTTGGATTTCTTTGTTTTGTCAACGTCGGATACCTGATCTACCAACAGAAAAGGTGCCCTGGTGAAGATCAGATAGACTGAAAGAACGGATCTGGTAGATGGATGATGGATGTATGACATTTTTAGGTAGACAAATCCAGGATGTATCATGTAAGTCCATAGACCATTTCAGACATTTTAGATGGATATATGAATATCTCATAATATATCTAAAATGATGTAAAGGGATGTAAAATGATGTAAATCCCACCAAATCACCAAATCTCAGCTTAAAAATAGGTTTTGACCAGTTCTGACCAAGTTTCACCAGACAAAATCAACCTCAAACACCATGATCCCTGCATGGTGGTTCCCCCTAGTCATGTTTGTTGTTGGTTCATTTCCCAATCCAACTATAGTTGTAATGACCACTCACCCCAGTTATTTTTATATATAAACCAACTTAGCCGTTATTATTCAGTTCCCCATGTTTCTCGGTTGAAATATGTTTATATGCTTAAACTATGTTAAAACATGTTAAACCATGTTAAACCATGTTAAACCATGTTAAACCATCAACAAATCAGCGATCGATTCCATTGTATTCTCATTGTATTCCCATTGTATTCCCAGTTTTCTTGGTTGAGATCACCATTTTTCTCCGCTTCAGTTGGCTGCGGTGCTGGACTCTTCGGCTCACGAGCCCAACGACCCCAACGACCTGTCGCTGGCCCCGTTGACCTCCTCGGTATGGCCGTCTCCAGCGGCGGAAGCGAAGGCTGGAGAATGGACGTGGCGACATGGCACCAGGGCGGATGTGGAGATATGTTGAGGTCACATTCCCCAATTGAGGGTTTTAAAAAACTATAGAAACATGACATAACATGACCATATGTTTGAGGGTCTTAGTTTGAAAAATCGAAAACCTTGTCGACACATGAATCGAACAAGCCGGAGTTGTCATGAGTTATCGCAGTTGATGAGCACCCCAGTGTGTACCAGTATTGATTTTAGAATTAAGTCAAAGCGAAAGTTGTTTCTGAAGAACATCCAATTTTGGGCTGTTGATGATGTTGATCCATCCTCATATGAAGGCTTCCGGCAGTTCAGAAAGGAGAAAATTGTGAACTCAACACGGCAGAAGCTTTAAGTGCAACGTGTCCGACTCGGGGGGGATTTGACATGAGAAGTGCCATATGGCTATGGCTCAAAAAATTGCTGGCCCCAAAACAATGGATGAATTTAACACGAAATATTGCGAAATATGACCGGTTTTGTGGATTCATTGGTACGCCAAGTACCAAACAATTGTGGGTCGCCGTCACGCGGAAGCTCCGTTCGTTCCTCACCAGGAACTCCGCCAGCTGGCATGATGGTGCTGATTTGGTGGGGATGGAGACCTACGAAATACCCTCTGGTAATTTAACATAGCTATTGAAAATGGCCACGTATATATAATTGATTTTCCCATTAAAAATTGTGATTTTCCGTAGTTATGTTAGTTTACCAGAGGGTATGTGATATATTTTGTGAGGACCATCCATAAATCTCCCAGGATATCCCAGGTGCCATTCGCCACATCCAGGCTGAGTGAATCTCAGCGCTGTAAAAGTGGAGGGTGCATCCCTTGACGTGGACTCCACGTCATGGAACACAGCTCAATTTGAAGCGGGAATTGAACGTGTCGGGCTCTCCAGATATCCCAAATAATCATGGGATACAATGGTATCAATTGGATATCCCCATTGATATCCCCATTTGTTACAGTATCCCCCATTGTTATCCCCCATTGAACCTGGAAATGGCCCTTGTCAGGTTTCATGTTCAAGTCGTTTTGTTGGGTCACTCTGGCACAGGTAGAGAACTTGCAGGAGCCTGCTGCTCCAGCGGAGAATGACACTAGGCCAGCTGTGTTTGGCGCAACACTAGCTTGAGTCTCCATACTTGCGAGGCTGCAACAATGTGCAACACCAACGTTTCCTCGTGACTGTTGGCTTTTGTTTGGGGGAGGCTCTTGAATACTCTGGACTCTGGATGTATTTTCTATTTTTTGTGGATATTAGATTAACCATCTGGTTGGTGGTTTGGAACATGTGTTTTTCCATATACTGGGAAATTCATAATCCCAACTGACTTTCATATTTTTCAGAGCGGTAGGTATACCACCAACAGCCATGATATCTCATGATTTCCCTTAGGTACATCAATCTTTGGGTACGTTCCAGTGCGCTGTCGATCAATTTGGGGTCCAGGCCCCGGACCGCAGCAGCACCTTCAGTTCCACCGCCTGAGGCGGACGATGTGGGGGATGGCACCTCATCAACCCCCAATAAATGGCAGGGTCTATGTGAAATTTACTGGAGAAATGTTGCTGCTTTTGAGTCTGTTGAGTCTTTTTTATCATCCAAGACTAAACTAAAAATATGTGAGGCATTTTGAGACCATCGTACATGTTACAAAGCCAACCGATTCCATGAGATAAGGTGGTGTTATTATGTGCAAACCGTCGGAGACCCCTCTATATTCCATTTGGATATGACAAAGGTATTGGCATCAGAACCATGGTTTCACGACCATGACCCCAAAAATATATAAAAAATATTAAACCAATCCATTGTATGTAGATTCGATTCGTGTTTTGCCATACCTAAATTTTCCAGTATATATCCCATTGATATGTCCATTTATTACCTGCAAATCCCTGGTTTTCAATTTAATTGGACCGCGAAACCTGGATTTTTTCGCTGCCAGGGAGCCTTCCACAGCACTGTTCCGATGGAAATGGGCACGCCGAAGCTGGGCTTAGACACTGGGGTGAGCAGGTCAAAATCTATGACTCCATGTGCCGTCATGGTCAGTGAGATGATCTACCACCATTAGGGGGATGGAAAATGATGGAAATAGCACATACAACCACTAGGGGATTGTCATGGCTAGCATAAGAATTCCCAGTGGATGACAATAACCCGCGTAATTAGTTTTTCTTGACCCTGGCATGGTTCAAAACCTATGGGAATGGGTGTGTAGTCTTTCGTATCCGGTTTTGATACGTTTGCGTGGACGAACGTCTGCCAGCTCATATTGCAAGTGGGCTAGTAAGGGCAGAGGTAAGACCTTGAAGAACTCTTGTGAGAACAGGCAGAAGTGCCAAACACAGAGACAGACGTGCAGACATTGTCACAGTGGCTGGAGTTGCTGGCACCAGAACCAGGTTTACACTTCGATGCTCGCTGCAGGAGGGCTCAGCAGACTCCTACGACCTATATTAGTGACAGAAATGCAACAACAAACTTGCCTAGGCTTGTCAGTAGAACATCGCACTAACATGCACAAACGAGTTGTAGAGGCTCAGCATCTATCGGTGCCGATCGAAGCTCATGGCTGCTGTAGCGCCCTGTGCTTACTATGGCTGCGGCTGTGGGCAGCCTGGGCACATGGCATCCTTCTTCCAAGGTGGTGGGATGGCTTACCCAAGCTGTCCACCGTGTGCACCACAGCAGCTGCCCGTTAAGCTGCGCCTGCACCATCTGCTGCTGGAGCTGAAACCAATCGAACAACAATACTGGGAGGCGCAGCATTTGGTGCAGCAGATGCCAGTCCATGAAGTTCGTCTTTGGGTCCAAGCAATCCTGGAGAAGCCTCTGCCGATGCAGTGGATGCATAACCTCGGCATCCAAATTCTTGGAGAACTTCTTCAGCGGCATCCAGCCATTGTGATTTCTGAGTTCGGCAAGGTGGGTACGGTTCAAGATTAATTAAACATACTCTGCAAATTGGATGGGTTTGCAAGAAAACGACTATATACTGACTACTGTAATCTTGAGTTCTTTTTTGAGCCGTGGCCAGGTGAAAAAGAACGTCTCATGGCTCTTCCCGGAAGACGGAGATGTGGACAGGGCAGCTGCTTTCTTTCGAAATCTCCTTTGGACAAAGGAGACCATGGGCCAAAACACCAAGAGTGAAGCCTCCACATTTTCAAAGCTGCTGTTAAAGTACACGAAGCAAAAGGACCTCTGCAGAGTGCCAGCGTGTAGTGCGAGAGCTTGGTTGGTCCACATCTGGAAAGATGTGCCTTCTACCCGTCCGAACCAAGATTTGTTAGTGAGCTGTGTGGTGCGCTGGCTCGCAGATCCGTATGAGATGCAAGGACAGTGGTTCAAGCCGATTCCATACATGCATAGAAGTCAAAGCCAAGGATTTGGTCTCTTCAAAAGACTCTTAAATTATCATTTGGGTTTTTCAATTTCATATTTTTGCTGGCAATGTCTAGTTTGTTTGGCTGCTTTTTGGTCTTGTTTTGGCCCCCCCTTGGAACCTTGAAGGAGTGAAAGCTGCCTGCTTAGGGATTCTTGGCGAGGAAACGGCTCGCCAAAGTCCTGCCAACGCGGAAAGATGGATCGTCTCCCTTCTTTTTCAGGAGGTGGATGTTAGATGAAGACCAAATGGGGGGTTTTCCATACGTGGGGGTATGGATGGTTTCTCATTGAAAATCCCAAAACAAAATGATGATGTTTTCAGATCTTTTCCCTGATTTTCGGAAACCAAATAGTCATTAGGACGTTGAATTTTGTTGTTGGTCATTACTCTCTTGGGGTTTAGGGTTTACAAAACAAGTAACAAGATTCAATATAAGTAATTGATGAATTGAATGAATATCAATATCCGATGTCCCAAAATAGAACTGATAGACTTTTCTGATCATTCTTTGGGTCTTCGCCAGGGCAGAAGGTGTTCTGAATGGCACACATTCGCAGGTCTGTCGACATCAAACGCAGCACTCGCCAGAGTTGCAGCAGCTGTTGTGGCCTGTTTATTTGTTCACAAAACTTTCATTTCCTTCTTCGTTCAATCTTTTTCTGGCAGGTATAGTATGCTATACAAGACATATTTGGTTTGGTTTCTTGGATGAGTTCACCATGCTTTTGAAAGCTGCCGGCCTTCCAAGGTGCCTACTGCCTTTTCCACCTAGCTCATCATCAGTGAGATGTTTGCTTGGGTCTTCCCAGGATCCGGGCTATTTGATGACCCTTTGGGGTTGCTTATGCAACTGGCTTCCTCAGCGTCCTTGGATTGTAGGGCAGCCTTGTAACACTTGGTGCCAGGCCGGACCACCTCCGTTGTATACATTGCTTCGTGCAATGCTTGTGGCCTTCTCCCAGTTGCCGGACTCCGGCAATTTATGCTCCTCGGCCATTGTGGCTTTGGCTGCGTTAGGATTCAGCAGTTCAAGCATCTCGACCCAGGCGCCTGCCTTGCTGCTTATGCTCTTTCATGATGTGCCTGCGCTTCCAGCAGAGGTGTGGATGCCTGCTCTCCCTCTCTTAGAGTATTTGTCAGGGTTTTCCAACCACGCGCTAGATTTGGTCACCAGATTGCGTGCATTGGCGAGTGGAGGATTCTGGACTGCACCAGGCTTGGGAGGGCAGATGGCCAGTCCGCCAAATGGACAGATGCAGGCTCAGACCGCCCCAGGCACAACTTGGAGCCAACAAACCCAAACACTAAGCCAGCAATGTCACCAAACACAGGCAAGCCAACCAGCTTTGCAAAAGGAATCGCAGGGGGCACAAGGCTGCATGCAACCGTTCACAACACAAACACAGTTTCACACATTACCCCAACAGACATCAAAAGCAGTGACGCACAGGCAGCCCAGTGTTGGACTGCAAAACACCAACAACACCTGCTACATGAACAGTTTCATGCAGGCGCTCTTCCTCACCGACGCCTTTGTATGGCGCATCTATGACTTCACCCTGAAGCTGAAAGCCAAGGCATCCAAAATTGACGAGGAGGACTTTGAGTTCGGAAAGAAAGTAGTGGAGTTGCTTCAAAAGCAGTTCGCCAAAATGGCATTGACAAAACACCAGCATACGGACATTTGGGACATCCTGCAGGCATTTCCCTCAGACTACCGCTCAGGGGAACAACAGGATGTGACTGAGAGTATTCGTTTTGTGATGAACACACTTGGCGGAGGCGACCAAGATTTGCTGAGGGAAGTCTTTGCAGGCCAGCTGCAAGAGAAAATTCAGTGTCGGAAGTGTGGAAAGATCAAGGTTCGCGAGGAGACCTTTACAGATTTGGTACTGCCGGTGCCCACTGCAGAGCAGGCCAAAGAGAGTGGCATCGTGCCAACCATGCAGAAGCTTCTTGAGGAGCGCTTGAAGTGTGAGGAGATGGACGACCCAAACAATCTGGTCACCTGTGAAAATTGCCAAACGAAGACATTCGCCGTGAAGTGGAGCGAAATCACTCAGCCTCCGCAGCACCTTTGTCTATGCCTCAATCGCTTCACCTATAACAAGCAGACCTACGACTTCACCAAGGAGAAGACACCGGTGAAGATAGATGAGGGCTTGTGGATTGGCGGCTACGAATATGAGCTGTACAATACCATAATTCATAGCGGCAAAGATGCCCACAGTGGACACTACTACGCTATCGGAAGGAGATCGGAGCCCACGCCCGGTGGAGATTGCGCATTCTACACCATGGACGACTCCCAGATCAAAGAAGCTGATGTCTCCCTCTTGGCAGGGAACCCTCCCGAGAAACTTTTGGATGACAACGCGTACGTTCTTTTCCTCCGGTGCAAGCAGGCGCCACCTACCCCTGAATTTCGTATCCCGTTATCCCTTGTAGAGTATGTAAAGAAGCAAGACAAGAAGCAATGAGTAGAGCCGAACCAAATATGGCGACTCAGTGTCTCACAGCCTCCTTTTAGTTTTATCTTTGATGAGGCTCCTTGTACATCGCACAGCCTTGATTTGTCCATCCATCTCACCTATCAACGGCAAAAAGTGTTTCTTCGGAAGTAAGCGGAACGGTTTCAGTTATATCACATGAATATAATTCAATATACATGTTGCATGAATGTACATGATTTTTACATGTGTGTGTGTCACAATATTAAATATATATATACATTGTT